AACTAATCTTCTATTCTCTATAATCAATATGACTTAAGCCCATGTACATGAGTTGATTATTGCTTCATTATTCACACGCTGATCATCTGTTCATCTTCTTGAAAATATACAGTGAATACTGACATGATAAGTTATCTTCATTTTCAATCTGAATGGTAACCAGTCGCTTTTTGAAATAATTTTATGATATGTATTGGTATTACTATTTCTCAAACTAATCTGAACTACATTTTGTCTCATACTCATGTCGTTCAAAAGTATTTTCTTAATTTATAACGACTTTGCCACGGACCTTCGATCTGATTTCTTTCTAACTGAAATACTCAAGAGTAAAACTTGATATCATTTAAAACTTTAGAAAACCGTATCGAAGTGACCTTCCTGTTAATATGAATCTGCGTTAACATCAAATATTGCGAGGTATTTTCGGTTATATTGCAGCGCATAGGCAATTATGGACAATGAAAGGTCGTTGGAAATTGTGAATAAAAACTCAATATAAAATAGTCTGCATAATTTCTTAAAGCTAAACGGTATAAACTATTCAGCAGCTATCAACTATATTTAAATAAACCCAATTTATCAGTCAGTTAGTAAAATGATAACCAAATAAAAGGTTAAAGGCAGGGCTAGGAAAAGAATCTTACGTTATTGCTGTTGTCTAGCAATGGAAACTTTGTAATGAAATTATATAACATAGTGAAGGCAATATATTCGGAAAACTCATTCATTTTGTGAACAATTTAAAAATTGACTTAATCAATCAAATGAAATGGGGAGTCAGTTAGCATTCAGATGTTCGAGCAAGGCAACGTAGGCTAATTAACCTAACGATTTAATGTGTCCACTAATCTATTTTGGTCTTGTATTGTGATAGATTGTGGCTTGGAATTATATTATCTGATAGGTCTTTATTAGGTTTTTAAAACTTATTGGCTGTAGTGTGATATTACAAGGACTAATATCCGAACACTGGTAAATGATCATTTTCATTCGTTTATGTTATTTATATCGTATCAGGAGTTGGTTGGAAGAAAGCTAGAAGCGGCCAAACCAAAATATGGCAGAAATGCATGAAGTCACTGACAAGTGGACTGAGTCATGTTGGTAGATGTAGGCTACTTGGTTGGGGTCTACGAGAAGAAAGTCACCAATGGTTAGAGACCTTGAACGACATGGCTTAGAATCGTTTTCAATGGCGCAGGTACATCCACTCTTTGTATTCTCTCAAATTCTAACCTTCAGAATTCCTCATGATCTCTATCTTCCTCTTTCTAACTTTATTTCACTGAATTATACACTAATCTTCTCCATTACTGCTAATACTTCTACTATCTCTACCACTATTGGATTTGAACTGACATTTGCGTCTCTGTGCTAATGCGGTATGGCAACCTGAACTGATGTACATACGTACGAAGTTCTATGTTGTATCTGTCTGTCTGTCTATTCATATCGTATTTTGTCATTGATTGTGAATTTTTTGTTAATGATGTGAAAATTAATTTCCATTTGTTTTTTCTTCCAGTGGAATCCAGTTGATGAAAAGTACTTTAAAATGACACGTAATGCTCGTACAGCTGATGTGGATCGTGCACGTAAACCCAATAAAGATATATTAGATAGATTAAAAGTCAGTTCAACCATATTATTATTATTATTATTATTATTATTATTAGTATTAGTATTGTTATTATTATATTTTCCAGTTAGCACTGTATGAATACATATGGTAAAATCTTTAATTCAATCGTTTTATTTTTGTTGTAGTGGTAAGCTGGTCCAAGTAGTTTAGTTTATCAGGCTTTTATTCTCCAATAACTGCTGACAAATCAGGTGACTGTCCCTATACTGGACTTAGAAATATACGGAATATAGCTACTTTTCAGCTTTCTAAATGTTAGTAGACTAAGAGTTATCAATTTAGAACTCAATGGTGAATATATATATATATATATATATATATATATATATGCACACACAATAGTGTGTGCAGATAAAAAACCTCACAAAACTAACACATTTGCAGTAGATTATAACGTGAATGGAGTGAGATAATTTAAACGTTTTTGTCATAATAAATAAAGGTAATAAAAAGGTTAAATTAAGTGAGATAATATCGGAAGCAATTATTAATAAAATCATGGTGAGCTAAGAAATAATTAGAGAAAAGGATGTTTTCAGGTGTGTAATGGATGAAACGAAAATAAAATACAAACAATAACAGCTTAATGTCGTGATGATAAAGACAACGATAAGACTTAATTATCTTGTACACACAAGTTCCATCCCATGTTTGAAAAGAGTTTCTGTTGTTTTAAAGAGTTCAATATGTAGATATCTTGATAGGCTTGGGCAAATTCTACGGTCGAAGTAGTTAGAATCAATTAAATACTCAAGGATAAAACTTCTGATCACTTTCCTCTCACTTTTATGGAACCACACTTGAATATACCCTCTTGTGCGGGTTTGAAAGCAAGCTCTAGCTACGGCCTATGTATTTCGATTTATAAGAACGAATGAACTGGTAGATGTACTTAGAGGCGACTAAATGAGGGAGCTTCTCTTTGGTAGTTACAGCAAACAAATCTTGAGATTGTGGAGAAAATTTGTAGCTCAGGTGGATGGTTGTGATGGAATTTCATTCTCTTAGCTGGATGTGTTGGTTGTGGAAATTTCATTGTTCTTCTCAACGACATCATCAACACAAACTTCAGATAGAAGTGAAGTATTCGAATTTCTTGACGTTTGACCCGTAGCTTGTTCTGTTAACCTCGATCTTGATTGGTTGTTATAGACCTTTATTTTGATTGTATCCCCCTTTGTTCTGTTTCTTGATCCTATGTTTGCCTATGACTTTTCTGATTGGTTGGTGAATTTATCAAGTGTGTGCTAATGATGGTTTTCAGAAGAACAATAATAGCTTCACAACCAAAACATCCAACTCAGAGAACGAAACTCCACCACAAACAAACAATTCTCTGCTAGTGAACATTAGTCTCAGCTTTGCTGTATAGAACGTTCTTTTTATGGCTGTCTACAGCTAGTTTTTAAATAAATCAGTCATCTTTAGATTTCATATTCATAAAAAGATATCTCTTTGAAACGGAATGCCTGGATTCCTTGTTCTGACTTTCATATTCTACTCTACGAGGCAACTTGAAAAACCATTTTCAGTCAAAGTTTTTCTTCCTAAGCTAAGTTCTTCCTCAATGCATCTTATTCAATATTTCCCTTATTAAGCACTTAGGATTTGTAGTACCAAATGACTGACTACATTTTTACAGTTCAAATAAGTCTTACCCAAAATAAATTCACCAGATAATAGGAAAAATTATTTAATCTCAAAATACTAAACTTTATAAAAAAAATACCCTATCCCAATGGTTTAGACTGTCATCCAGTTTCTATCACTTAGATTGATTAATTCTACCAATTTGTTTTCACAGTACAATTAAATAACTTTTTATGTAATGATTCAATCAGATTGATCACCATGAACTATGAATTCATTTTCTGTTCATTCATTAAGCTTATTCTTGATTTACCACCGGGAATAAATATATCCGAGTCAGATGGAGATCTTATCTGGAAATATCGATTTTATTTGTCGAATAAATTCCCTGAAGTAAGGATTATTTGTTATTTATTTTCTATAAAATATTGCACATTTTAACTAGTGAATTTTAGACTTCGTTCTATGGACAAGTATAGGTTATATGAACGAATTTTAGACTGAATCGTTGGTGTAAATTAGGAAGCAATAATTCACCTCTATGCATCACTGAATCAATACAAGAGCGATGATGATACTAATCGTTTTATTCAATATTATAAGTTTTCTGACTATGGAGAATTTACACTACCCAGTTATGTTGCAATATTTCAACGAATTTCGTGCGCTTTTACGTTGTATCTGACTGACTGACTGCAACGAATTTCTCTTTTACGTAAATGTTAACTGTAGTTAGCCAAAAGTATATATCACATAAATGCTTTATGATAGTTGGTTTTTAGCACTTATCTTCAATATCAAAAGTTTTTTTTAATAATAGTAGTTGACAGCATCTATGAAAACTGCAGTCTGTATTTATTTTATAATAGATTCAGAAAGTCTAATGCAATTAACCTCTGATCCAACAAAGTTATAATTAAGAGGAAAATATGCTAAGAACTGTAGCATTTAAGTTTTCCACAATTTAGTATCGCAATAAGTTATAGGAACTTGGATGATATTGTCTTACTGTACTATGATAATGAAGCCATACAATCTTCACGTAATCGGTTGGCAGTACGTACGGTTTGTGCTTTGCACCTTCTAAGTGCTGTGAGAGCAGTTTTACTGTATGCTCTATGAAACTCTTTGTATTTGATCATCGTTGTTTTCCAAATATTGGTGACATTCATTAGCGACACCATGTTAGTAATGTGAAGATTTGGCAACGCATGTTCGGGCATAGTGACGACAATTCAGTTTGTGTCATTATCTTGAAACACCAACTTCATTGGCTTACAAGTGTACTACGAATGTCGTCCCAGCAAATTCTACACTGTGTATTATTCACCAACATTGAAACCGATTGGGAAAGAGGAATAGTTGGTCTGTGTTTATTACGCAATACTGTGGGATGAATGGAAAAACTGTAAATGACTGGCATTAGTTGGTCCTTCATGACTCCCTGGTTTGGGTACTAGAGACAGTATTACACCCTTAGCTTGAGATGTCGTCAGACATGGACCAGAAGAGAAGGATTATACTTGAATATATTGAGGTGGTCAGATTGAACTTTACGCTCTAATCCTATTCATACTTATCACATTGTTTTAAATCAATATTTTCTACAGGCTTCTTTAGCGAAATTCATTTTATCTGTACGTTGGGAATATAGAGAACAAGTCAATCAAGCTGTTGAATTGTTAAAACAATGGCCAACAATAGCTCCTGAACATGTCCTAGAATTGTTCACTCGTCAATTTCTTCATCCTGCTGGTAGAAGATTCGCTGTATGTCGTTTGGAAGCTGCTAGTGATGAAGTATGTAAATATTGTTTGAACTGTAGAGAACTTTTGTATCATTCAAGTATGGTATAAGAACTATAATTATTTATTTCGCTATTGTTGTAGCTTTTCAATGATAACTAACTGTAGTTAGAGAGTTCAGCTACTAAAGTATTTTTGAATTCTTCTGTTTAGTCTGCTTGAATTCCAGTGAATATTAGTTCTGTAAATATAAGCTATATATATAGCATGGTGGCTGACGAAATCTCAACGCGGATACAGAAAGCTCGATTTGTTTTTTCCAATTTACGCCGTTTATGGCGTAGGCGAGATATCCGTTCGCTAACCAAAGGACGGGTGTACTGCGCAGCAGTTCACTCCGTTCTCCTATCTGGATGCGGAACATGGCCGTTAAGCGTAAAAGATGTTCGTAGGTTGCTAGTATCCGATCATAGATGTCTTCGAAGCATTGCTCGAGTATCGTGGGACAACCGAGTAAGCAATGCTGTCGTTAGGAAACGAGTACTAGGTAAGGATAGCAGATCAATAGATGAAGTAGTGAAACTTCATCAGTTGAGGTGGTCGGGACATATGTTACGAATGCCTAACCACCGACTGTCTCGACGAGCTATGTTTTGTGGTGAAGGATTAGGTTGGAAGAAAGCTAGGGGCGGCCAAACCAAAACATGGCACAAATCCATGAAGTCACTGACAAGTGGACTGAGTCATGTTGGTAGATGTAGACTACCTAGTTGAGGTCCACGAGACGAAAGTCACCAATGGTTAGTGACCTTGAACGACATGGCTCAAAATCGTTTGCAATGGCGCAAGTGCATCCATTCGTTGTGCTCTCTCAAATCCTAATCTTCTGGATTCGTGAGCACCTCTACCTTTATCTTTCTAACCTTATCTCACTGAATTATACTTCTTGAATAATATTTTCGAACCCTAGTCTTCTTCATTACCATTAATACCTCTACTATCTTTATCACTATGGGATTTGATTTGATATTTGTGTCTGTATGCTAATGTGGTATGGCAACATGAACTTATGTACATATGTACGAAGTTCTACTTTGCAACTGACTGACTGACTGATGCTATATTCATCTTGCCATTATTTACAAACATTCATTTTGACTCTTTAAGATGGACGTAATCTGAATATAATAATTCTTATTTTACTTTGTTATCTCCAAATTGCTTACCAATAAAATGAATAATAACTTCGGAATGTTGAAGCTGAATGCTATGATTTATAATTTCAATAACATACATTATTTAATTTTTCGACTTTCAAATATAACATTGAAATATCATTGTACCAACACAGTACGACACAAGTATTGCGAAATGTTGGGGATGTTAGTTCCCCAGAACTCACTTCGAAAATGTCCTAATATTGTACTTTTATTCTGAACTTTTGAATTTCATTGTTTTCGCGCCAAAGACGCTTAGTCGACCTTCAGCTTACATTTCCCACTTGGAAAATCTTTGACTGTCATTGGTTGGTAGATTATTTTAGTACGCTTCAAAGGTGTTTTATCAATTGTATAAATAAGCTTGAGTTGTGTGCTTGGGAACCTCAACCCTTCTCGGGACCTGTAGAATACATTCTCTACGCCTTATCAAGACTGCTTGCTCTAGTTAGCGGGGCCTGGGACAATCGGATTAGAATAGCATATCGTGTCACTGCATCGTTGGTCTTCGTTCTGTTTACTGAGTAAGGCAAGCACCGGGATTTTTTCTGTATACGCTTGCCAATACACCCACTTTTGTAGTTTTACACCTATCCGCTACAAAAGAAATTTGGTTAGATGCCTCACTAACAGAGCAAATATGATTTGTTCAGTGGATACCTTAAGTCAGGAGCTGCAATTTATCAACGACTCACTAACCGAGATTGGTTATCCCAGCGCATTCATAAAGAAGTATATGTCTGCCGTAAAAAAGAAGTCGGTGGTTTCGACCGCCCAAAAGAAACCTTTATTTATAAAGTTACAATTCAACGGGGATGTGGCCTGCGATACTCTGCAGGACAGATTAGTAAGAGTAATCAGTAGAACATTCAACGCTGCCAAACTTGCATTGACTTTCTCTAGTCGACCAGCGATGTCTACCCAAACGAAGGATAAGTTACCTGAGTTGGCCTCCTCTATGTGCATTTACAAATTCAGCTGCTCCTGTGGAGATAGCTATATCGGGCGTACTTCCAGGCAACTTACACAACGAATGAGTGAACATCTCCCAGCATGGTTTACAAAGGGTCAGTCAAAAACAATACGCAGTTCTATCTTAGCACACCTGGTAGATAGTGGTCACATTGTAGATAAATCTAGATCTTTTCGGGTGATCTATCGTATACCCCCATCATTTCCCAACGGAGTTCGATCCCGTCTCCTACACATTGCAGAAGCCATAGGAATACGCACATTCAACCCTAATTTATGTGTTCAGAAAAAATTCGTGACACCCCTATCTCTTCCGTGGCCGGATATGACGTAACTAACGATTGACATTATATATTTATTTTATTTATTTTAATTTAATTTTATTATTTTTATTATTTTTACACATCTGCTTATTCCGTAATGTTTTTGATGTTTTTGATGATTATTTGAATTCTATTCATCCACCCTTGACCTACTTTAGTTATCATATTTTATAAATTTTCCTACTACTATCGGTTCACCTATCTTCCTACTATCCACTTGTACTTTTGCCTTTTTCATTTCATTGTGATTATCACTCAAAGTGCCTTGATTGGTTTAACATTTTCATATAAATATTCATGTATATTAGAGTAAAGCCTGATGACGATCTAATCGAAAACAATATTGTTCGCTTATATGTGTTGTTCTAATTTTCACAATGGGAATATTTAATACGAGAATTTTCTATCCTGTTCTCCAAGCTTCGATCAGGCGCTGATTGAACAGGAAATTAGCCAATCAGCGCGTAGTGACGTAATCATGCTTTAAATCCATCTATGTCCCACTAACAGAGCATGATATCTTTTTTGAATCCACCTACCCCCACAATTCACCTGCGTCTCTTTCGCACCAATCGAAAGCGTCATTTTGATCGGCTAATTAAATACTTATTACTTACTTAAGCCTGTTAACCCTTGTAGGGCATAGGCCACTGACGAGCATTCTCCAATCTACTCTGTCCTAGGCCTTCTTTTCCAAATCTGTCCAATTACTGTTCATTATTTTCATATCTGTCTCCAATTCTCGACGGAATATGTTCTTCGGTCTTCTTGTTCTCCTTTGGTATTGAGGTATCCAAATAAGCGCTTGTCTTGTGACGCAGTTAGGTGCTTTCTTCAGTGTATGTCCTATCCACCTTCAGCGCTTCTCAATTTCTTCGTCTCTGAAGTCTGGTTTATTCTCTCCCACAGTAGTTTGTTGTTGATGGTGTCTGGCCAACAGATCTGAAATATTCTACGTAGAAAACTATCTTTGTCACATTACTCTCCAGTAGAATGTTTCAATTTAAACAAAAGACGTAGTTTCTACATCACAGAAACAGGAATATTTTTAAGTTCACATTATACGGCTAAAATCAATCTTGTATAATTCTACATATTAGTTTGGAAAATAGAAGAAAATTTTTATTGTTGTTAGAACTAAACATTCCTTGGAAATGTTAGCTTAAATATCTGAGGAGTTGTTTTAACTCTGACGGTTGCTTTCACTCACTTAAGGTAGCGAGCGTAAATCTAAAAGCCATTGGTATACACAGTTCACAGAAAAAGCATCAAACACACTAT